CTTGAGAACCCAGCAGATCACTGGGTTCGATCAAGAACCCAGCCATCTGCTGGGTTCTCAAGAACCCACTTGAATTTTGGAAAAATATGTCATGATATTTCTGAGTGTTTTTGGGGAGGTTGAAAGAAAGAATTTAGGGCGGTGATTGGTTTGGGGAGATTCTGGGTTTGTATTATTTTTTGATTTAATGTTAGAAGGTGTTAGGGTTTGCAGAAGGCGAAAGGGAAGGAAGAAGATGAAAGGAAGAAAAAAAGAAAAAAAGGAAAAGGAAATATTTTAAGGTTTTTTTTTTGCCATGTCATTCTTTTTTTTGCCATGTCATTCTTTTTTTTGCCATATCATTCTTTTTTTTGCCATGCTGTCATCTTTTTTCGTTAGGTAATGGGACACGTCAGTCAATTTTTAGCGGAAGAACTAAATCGAGGTCGAAATGGTAAACAGTAGGGACCAAATCAAGGATTTTTTTAGTTCAGGAATCAAATCAGGGGTCCGTACAATAGTTCAGGGACCAAAAAGAGGTTTTAACCTAAAAAAATTCCTTAATGCGCATCATATAAGCAGATTTTTTAATTCCAAAGAGTTATGTTATTAGTTACAACGAGGAAGTGTCAAAAATAGGGTGAGTGCATTTTTTGGTCAGGTTTGTGCATGTTGCTTTGGAATGGGTACAACAAAAATTACTTATTATCCATTTGATGCAGAGTGACTGTAGATCCAGGGAAGACTGCTGCTGTTTATAAAAGCAATTTGAGTAAATTTGGAATCAATGAATTTGCTAGAAGAAAGATCCGTAAGCTTCTCTTTAAATTACTTGGTGGGTTCTAATTGATATTGTTTCACTAGCTACTTATGCATGGTTTTCTTCTTCTTTTATTTTTATTTTTTAATTTTTTAATTTTTTAATTTTTTTTGTTTTTTTATCGATCCATCTTATGTTAATCATTACTAAATTCATAACTCTTACATAAAATATTTAACCATTTATCTTTTTACTATGAATACCTGATTTATAATTTAACTAGAAAATATCCATCATCCCAATCAAACAAAGTTCGGATCTTACCCACTTGTCATCTGCTGAATGAGAACTAGAAGATGAGAGAACCACATAAAAGTTCTTCCTCCAATCTTTTGAAAGTATAAAGTTGTTCTGAAGTTCTATTATTCAATTTAACTCAAAGCACAAAGTTCTCAAGCAAAGCACACTTTATAGAAATCCCCTTTTACACAGTCATCATTCACAGGCAACCACAACTGGCTGTTTCCCAACGTAGTTCTCAAGCATACAACACTCCATAGAAATCCCCTCTTACACAAGTCATCAGTCACGGGCAACAACAACTAA